AAAGAATATGTACTTTCGATTTGTCGAAACCAGTATTATATATATTATATTATATAGTGCTTTTTTGGTAACAAAATAGGTACCGGTATCAGTGAAGTATCGCCTAACTTTGAACTACAAATAAATTAATAATAAACGTTAAAATACAAGAAAAGTAATAATTTTCCCCACACATTGAAAAAAGTGCCGGTGCGCCATACCGGTGCGTACCGTCACAAAAAGCACTATATATATATATATATTATATGTTAAAAGTACTTTGTTTTTTGTAACAAAAAAATATAGGTGCCGGTACTCAGTGACAAAATGCCTAACTTTCAACTACTAATATATTAATAATAAAATTAAACTACAAGTAAAGTAAAAAAAAAATTCACCACATTAAAAAGGTGCCGGTACGCTGTACCGGTGCGTACCATCACAAAAAAAAAAGTCCAGTACATATATAAGAGCTTGATTTCTGATATTTGTATAAAGTGTAGTTCTAGATCCGATGTTGCCATTTTATTATTTTAACCTGGTGATTGCCACCATTTGTTCTACAGGTGTTCGATAAGTAATAATAAGGGATGAATTGACCAGGGATTTAATGACTGGGATTTGTTATCGACATTGGTTTGGGAAAACAAAAGTAAAATATTGGTTGTTTTATTAAAAGACACCATTTGTTTAACCATTGCCCAGGTGAACATAACATCGCCATCAACCTGTGGGATTAGAAGGCAACTTTGCTTATTATACTAATGTGATATTTCTATAAGTGTAATAAAACTTTTTTTTCTAAACTTTATCTCAGGTGACATCGGCTATGCCTCACCGGAAGGTCTGGTGTTTATTAAAGACCGACTAAAGGAGCTTATAAAATACAAAGGTTCTCAAGTAAGTTTTCAACTCACTTTTTCTATAAAAAAACAACAACAAGGAATCATTAAATTTAAAAGAGTGAATTCCTAATTTTATGAATCAAGACTAAGACTAAGACTGCTTTATTGATCCTTACGGAAATTTGTTGTGATTACAAGGACTCTTTTCTCATATCAAGACAACATAACAGAAAAATACACACAAATACAACAGACAACATAAAGAGTTCATTCAGCGACTACACACAGGTATCTTGGTGCATTTCATGTTCCCTGATCAATGAGTGGCGGTGATAGAGTCTGACCGAGTGAGGTACGAACGAGTTTTTGTACCGCTCTGTTCTTGTTTTGATTGACAGCAGTCGCCCACTTCGCGACGACCTGTCGTAGTTCTGATGGAGCGGGTGGCCGTTGTCTTCCAAGATTTTTTCGATTTTTCTTAGGCACTTTTGTTCAAAAAGCTCCTTTAAATGTGGCAATGTTGTAAGTGTAATTTTAGATGCTTTTTTAATGATTTTTTCTAGACGTCGCGACAGTTTAGATGAGGCGTTGCCTTGCCAACAAGTTATTCCGTATGTTAGCAGACTCTGCATAGTCGCGCGGTAAAATGTCTCAAGGATCTTCTTGCTTAGTTTAAAGCTATTGAGTTTGTATAGAAAAAAGAGTCGCTGGGCTGCCTTCTTTGTCAGAGTTCCCAGGTGGTCTTCCCATGAAAGCTTGTTGTTGATGATAACACCTAGATATTTATATGCCTTTACTTGTTCTATAGATGTAGTGTTCATTTGCAGTTCACGTATAGTATGTTTTTTCTTTCTAAAATCTATTATAAGTTCTTTAGTTTTTGTTACATTCAGTTCTAGAAAGTTGTCGGTGCACCAGTTTGTAAACTCTTCTATCGAGCTTCGATACTGAGTTTCGTCTCCTGAAATAAGACCGACTATGGCAGTATCATCAGCGAATTTAATGAGTTTAACTGAGTCATAGATGCTTCTTATGTCATTAGTGTAAAGAGTGTATAATACAGGAGAAAGTACACAAGAGCACCCGTACATAGTACTCGAGTTGACGATTTGGTGTTGTTGACTTTAACATACTGGGGCCGTTGGGTTAAAAAGTTTAGAACCCATGCTTGTAAGTAAGGGCTTACATTTAAGTTACTCAGTTTGTTTATCATTAGATGTGGCTGTATGGTATTGAAAGCCGAGGAGAAATCTACGAAGAGGACTCGTGCGTATGTTTTGGGTATATCGAGATGCTTATAAAGCTGGTCCAAAAACAATAGAATGGCATCCTCAGTTCCTCTAGCTGCTTTGTATGCAAATTGGTGAGGGTCTAGGCTGTTGTTGACTTTTGCTACAAGTTGTTTTAGCATATATTTTTCAAAACATTTCATAACAATAGGTGTTAGTGCTACTGGGCGGAAATCATTTAAGCAATCTATTTTTGGTTTCTTAGGCACTGGTATGATCTCTGAAGTTTTCCAGATGTGTGGAATTACGCACGTTTGCAATGACTGGTTAAAGATATGACAGAAGATAGAAGAGATTTGCTCCGCACATAGCTTGATCAGCTTGCCACTAATTTTGTCTGGTCCAGAAGCTTTTGTTACGTCTGCTCTTTTAAATAACAAGGTCACTTCATCCTCAGTTACAAAATGGACATAGGGCTCTTGTTTTCCTTTGGACAGAGTGTTGAAAAGTTCTTTGTGTAGATCAACAAAATCTTCTTTGTCAAAACGAGAATAAAAATAATTTAGTTCGTTGGCGAATTTCTCATCATCAGCCACTGAAATTTGTTCTTGTTTTGAGGCGCAGCCTGTTATTTTCTTTAATCCCTCCCAGCATTGTTTTGAGTTGTTCTTTGCAAAGAAATTCTCAATTTTTTCTTTGTATGTTTTTTTCCCTTCAATTATTGCTTTTCTCAGTTTATGTTTAGCATTTATAAACTCTTCGTTGCTAGCCTTATACTTTGTTTTCTTTTCAGTAATAAGGTGTTTGATTTTTTTGGTCATCCAGGGCTTATTGTTTCCATAGAATTGTATTGTTTTTGTTGGAATTGTTAACTCCTCGCAGAATGATAGATATGAGTTAACAGTTTCTGTTAGTTCGTTTATGTCTGGACAGTTTTCAATAAAGATTTCCCAGTTAGTTTTCTCAATGCATCCTCGTAGTTTTTCTACAGCCTCTTCAGACCACATCTTGACCGTTTTTATAACTCTCTTTGTAGTTTTAAGATTAGGTTTGTAATTTGGTATACGATGGACCAGTACATGGTCAGATTCTCCAAGTGGGAACAAACTTTTACATTTGTAAGCCTGCTTAATGTTTACGTAGCATTTGTCGAGCGTTCTACCCTGCCTTGTGGGGAGGGAGACATACTGGCAATAGTTTGGCAGTGTGTTGTCAATATTTAGGTTGTTGAAATCTCCAGTTACGATACAAACAGAGTCCGGGTGTTTTGATTGTACATTGTGAAGCACATCAAAAATTATTTCCGACGCAGTCGCTGTGTCAGCCGTCGGTGGTATGTAAACAACAACACACACCTGAGTGAATTCTCTAGGCAAGTAGTAAGGCCTAAGTGTGACACACATAAGTTCAATGTTAGGGTCACAAATTTTATTCCTAATGTTCACATTATTGGCGTTGCAGTATTCCCTGTTTATATAGATTGCGAGTCCTCCTCCTTTTGACTTCCCACTATTAATTGTTCTGTCTGCTCTATAAACGTAAAATTTATCGAGATCAACAGAAGAGTCGGGTATCGTGTCATTGAGCCAGGTTTCAGTGAAACACATTAAGGAACACTCTCTAAATTGATACAGATGTTCACAGCAACCTGTTAATTCTTCCATCTTATTTTGTAAAGACCTAACATTGCCTGTTACGATGGGTGAATCAAATTTATGTCTTTAGAAAAATATTAATTGCTAGATGCATTTGTTTAGTTTGACACTTGGCGTTTTTTACTCAGGTCCCTCCAGCTGAGTTAGAAGCCTTGTTGCTAGGCCATCCAGATGTCCAGGATGTGGCTGTATTGGGGGTACCAGATGAACAATGTGGGGAACTACCGAAAGCTTTTGTGGTCAAGAAACCAGGTTCAAAGGTCAGGGAAGAGGAACTAGTTAAATATGTAGAAGGTAAGCTTTTGTAATATCGATATTGCTGCCAAATTAGCATCTTTTCAATGTTACTTGTATTAGAAAGATTGTTTTATCATTGTTATTATACTGCCAGTGATGTGATTTAATGCTATAAATGGCACAAACAAAAACAGAAATTTATTAATAGAAAACACAATTTTAAAAAATAAAAATTCTTGCATTTAATTTTATGAAACACATTCTAAAATATTCTTAACAGAAAAAAAAATAATCAAAGGTAATACAGGGCAGTAATGTAAAATAGTCATAAACTAAGAAAAATTATTTAAAATGTGATTAATAGATAAACAATACCTTAAGACTTAGTTTTATAAACAAACTATCAAAAATTAAAATATGTATATTTTGTTGTTAATGAAAAAAAAACTGATATTTAAAACAATATATATATTGGTCTACTGTATGTTAAAAGTTTATAAAGTGTAGACATATATATATATATATATATCTAAAAAGTTTATAAAGTGTAGACATATATATATATATATATTACACATATTACATACTGTACCTATAATAATATGAATGAGAATTTGAAGTCTTAAAGTGTAGAAAAAACATGTTTGAAAATGTGAAAAAAAATGTCAGCAGCATGCTGTTTAATAACCCTTCAGTACAAGAAATGTTTCAATTTATCACATAATCTGGTGGGCAGATTGTTGCTGGCAACATATATGATTTGTTATTTAGAGTTTCAAAGGTCATAATGCTTGACAAACCTTTCCCTTTTATTTAAAACTCAAGTTTCCCAGCAAATGCCAGGCACCCTTTAGAAGTGGAGAGACACACAGGGTGACATAACAATTCCAAATAATTTCTAATGGAGTTTGAACTTTAGACCGATTGGCTTGGAGGCCTATCAATTTATCATGATATCCCAAATAGTAGTCCAAGTATGGTGGTGTACTGTATGGTAAAAAGACAAGGGATGTTAGAGCTCTCTGATTGACAAGGTTGTTTTGCCTTTATTCCCCAAGAGATTCTATGTCAGACTCCAAATTGATTGGAATAAGCAATAATAACCAAAAAACAAGCAGAACAGCACCAAGAATTTGTAGCAGAATAGACGCATCCCCTATCTAGTAGACCACTTTTTACAAAACAAATTTACTAGGAGAATGACTGTTATTATTTAGATAGCATTTCATTTATGACAGAAACGAAAGTCAGCCTTCTGATGCAACAAACTAAATGTAGCCAAACTATAGGATGTAAAAAAGACAAGTTTTGTTCAACAATAATATTAGGTAGATTGCTTTATTGTGTATATATTATTATGTATTAAAGCCTGTTGACAAATATGGACAATTTTCAACTCTCCAGATAAAGTAGCTCACACCAAAAGACTCAGAGGTGGTGTTTTATTCATCAATGAAATTCCAAAAAACCCAAGTGGAAAAATATTGCGACGTATAATGAGAGACCAATACATCAAGTCTTAAAACATCATCTTTTAAAACATTTGATCAACACTAGTACAATATATGCACAATACATCAACATGTACATATCTCTTTTATATTCATTAATGTCTAATTGCTGCCCAAAATATTACTGTACATAATTACTCTTCTGATGGAATGTTTTGAATTCAAATTGTTTTACATTTGTGTGTATGTACTGTATATAAATGAATGGAATACCAATGTTATTATGTAGTGTTGTGAAACTAGGCTGCTTCTGATGATTGACTTTTTGTTTTACAGTTGTTATCTTTTACTAAGAAAATGTGATATGTAGAATAATGAACTAGCCATCTTAATATGTATATTGGGAATGTCTATCAAAATGTTTGCTTGGAGTCACTGATAACTCATCCTTCACCTGCTGTTTATTATACATACACTAAAGTGTTGGCGTTCTTTGACTAAATACTTGTTATCTAAGATTTGTGTGTACATATATTTATAGTAAGTCAACATTCATGTGTTATGGTTAAATGTTGGATAGCAAATAATATCAAAAGAAAACTTTTTTTTTGTTCCATTTCTTATTATCATAACAATAAAAGAAAATAATTTCTATTGCTGTGTAAATGTGATTTGTTTTCTTCACACAATTCTACTTTTGAAAATGTCTATATTTAATCATTCTTATTCACATAACATAAATACATATGTTATTAAATCACTGAACACTGAAGACCCACAAATTCAAATGTACTTTCTATTCAATAAATTGCCTAGGTATTCACAGAACAGTACCGGTACAATGTAGTTCATTTTTTAAAGTCATGATGATTTATTATATAATATCTTGCATAAAATATGTGTACAAAATCTGCCATTAATATTCAACTACTTAAATTTAGATTACAATTTATTACTACAGATTTAGCCTTAAATAAATCAGTTAGTTGTGACACTCCAAGTTTAACTATTTTATTTCTTTTTAAATGATTACAGTATTAGTAATGTCATCACAAGTACATCTTTTCTAAATAAAACTAATCCAAAGAGTAACACATCATTTTGATATGCTCTACAAATATTTAAAACAAAACAGGTCAAAAAATCCACCAGTCCATTATGAATATGCCACAAATTTTCTTTTGTTTGGTATGTTATCACAATGCCAAGTTATTTCTGATGACAACAAGAAGGTTAAAAAAAAAACAACCTAATTATTTCTTAAATGGAATCACTCAATCTGAACATTTTACTTGACAGAAGACATGCTTTCTTAAAACATTTTCAAACAATAACATCAAACTGATACATTCAATGCAATTGCTCTTTTTACAAGTTTTGCATTCTGATACTTTTTCCCAATATTCTCCTGTCAATTTCTCCAGCTCACTATTTTGTGAAAAACAGAATGTAAAAGAAGAATCGATACATCTTATGACATATAATTCCATTTTTTTAAAACATGATAAATTTGACATCTGCAACATAAAAGGTTTTGTTCCATAATTGAACAATTTAGATTTTTTAAACTGGTAGCCGTGCCACATTGCTTGTTCATTTCTGTTGTTTTTTTCCAGCTTATTTGTTTCAAATTCTTCCATGTTTGTTTTTGAAATTGACTCTGAAAAAAAATCATAATTCACACATTTTTTTAAACATTTTAGAGCCTCACAAATGATGTACTATAATCATTTACCATGAGTCTGTATATGACTTTTCAAGTTTATTTTCTGATTAAAACTTTGATCACAGAGGTGACAGTGAAATGGTCTTTCTCCTGTGTGTACCAGGACATGACACATTAAATTATTCTTCTGGGCGAATCCTTGGTGACAGATGTCACATTGGAATGGCTTCTCCCTACTGTGAACCGACATGTGAATTTTTAAATGAGTTTTTCTAGAAAAGCCTTTACTGCAGATTTGACAATGGAAGGGCTTTTTGCCCTCATGAACTGACAAGTGACTTCTTAAATTTTGTTTAAGAGCAAACCATTTGTTACATATTGAACACTGAAAGGGTTTCTCCCCACTGTGTACCAACAAATGAGCTTTGATGCGTTTTCTTTCAGAGAAGGCTTTATTGCATAGATGACATTTAAACTGTTTTTCTTGAGTATGAACTAATGTGTGGCTTCTAAGCTGTGAGCTCTGTATAAAACTTTTGTAACAAATGTGACACTGATATAGTTTTTCACCTGTATGAATTAAAAAATGACTTTTTAAGCTTGTCTTCTGAGAAAACACCTTTTCACATATGCTACAAGTAAATGGCTTTTCTCTTGTGTGAACAGACATGTGAATTTTTAAATGAGAGTTTCGAAAAAATTCTTTGTCACAAGTCTGACATTTGTACGGCTTTGTACCAGTATGAACCTTTATATGACTTATTAAATTGCCTTTTAAGGCAAATCCTTTAGAGCAGATATGACAAAGAAAGGGCTTTTCCCCAGAGTGAACGAGGAAATGATCTTTCAAATGGGCTTTACGGGAGAATTTCTTATCACATATGGCACATTTAAATAGACTGCCATCAATTATTATAAATTGATGGTTTTTTTGTTTTTTTGAAGCATCTTTCATTTCTGGACAAAGCTGCTTATTATCTGTCATTTCTGGGATATGTTCTTTCATTGGCATCACAATGTCTTATTGTTTCACTGATTTCAATGAATTCACCTGATGATGAAAGAATTCAAATGTACACAAGAGTTACAATAATGATTGACAATAATGTATACATAATCTAGATTATGTTATTACTGAATACATGATGTTTTCCTTGTTTTATTAAAAACCACCTACAATAATAACTTGCTCATGACAAGTGTCAAATTAATGTCTTTGTAACTTCTCTTAACTATATCACACTTTGATACTTTTCTAGCTTTAGATAGTTTTTTTGTAAGAACAAAGAAGGAAACTATTTATAAATTTTAATTTTTTTCAGGACTTACATTCCACTCACCATCATCCCCTGACTTGAAGGTTTGTCCTCGGATTGATATTTTTTTTTTTGTAAAGGAACAACTGTAACCATAGAAAGAAAAGCTTCATTAGCAACTATGTCATACTTCTGTTAATTGATGTATTTTAAAAAAAAACTAGATTTACTGATATGTCAATATGTAAATTACAAAGTTTATTTCAAACAATTTGATTCAATTTTCAATCTTTTAAAATCTAACTTTGAAATCAAAGTCTTCTTTTTCTTCTGTCTTCTTACCATGCTGGGGGGGTACAAATAACTAGTCCTAAATCTGAGATGATCTGTGCAGTTCTTTCCAAATCAGGCAGCTCTCCATACAGTTTGTTCTTCTATAGGGGTGTTAGGGGTGCCAGTTTTGGCGTCATAAAAAAAATTATGCAGCTTAAAAGGGCATGGTCAGCATTCTCTGGTGACACTCCATCGGCGCATGTTTTGCTACTTCCAACTTTTAGCTTCAGAAACAATTGTTAATTTAATTATTGATTATAATCTTACTTCAAAATTTACTCTCTATATATAATAATGTTTCTCAACCCGTGATCTAAGACTAAATTAATCTAATCGCAGCTTGTGACTTACACATTTACTAAACAGTTTTAAGCTCATAAGACAATGACATCACTGTAACTTAAACTGAATAGTAATATTTTATTCTAGATATGCACTACATGTGGATAAATATACAGGTCACAACTGGGCTTTGCATAGTCTTGTGAAACTCTGCTGCACTCATCTTTAATCTTTGTAATTGAAGACATTGCCATTATTATTATTAGATATTATAGCAAATCGAAAATAGATCTACTGCTACTTAGTGTACTACGAGTATGAACTACCTAGATTAGATCTTAACTCTAGCGTAGGACGTAATCATCTTCTTTTTTGAACTAACGTCTGTATTTTATAAGACTAGATCTACTACTAGATCTAATTACTAATTCTAACTAATCTAAGTTCTTTTGTTTTGTCATATAACTTCTGTTTTAATTAACTTAGAAACATAATTGAGGTATCAATAATTTTGGTTCAAAAAGCTCTATCTAAAGATATAACTAGGATCTAGACTTTAGTCTAAATTACTAAATTTATTATAATATTATTATAAATAACATAGTTAAGCTTTGTCAAAGTAAACACCTAGTAATATAATAATAATATCTTCAAAAAAATAAATCTAGAATCTAGCGCTAGAGACATAATCATGATAGTCACAGAGACAGAGTGACTAGAGTAGTACTACTAAGTAAAGAGTAGAGCTAGATGATAGATCTACTATCTGTACTGGAGACTAGACTAGTAATAGTAGTAGTAGGGTCCAGCTAGAGCAGGGGCGTAGCTCGGAATTTTCCATCGTTTGGGGGCCCGGGGTGCTTGACCTGTCTGGGTGGGGCGGAGGCCAGCATTTTGAGTAATATTTAATTATTTATGTAAAAAACACTCATTTTGGGGCCCCATCAAGTGGGGATTTTCAAATTCTCCCCCTACCTCCCCACACCCTAGCTACGCTACTGAGCTAGACTAGAGTATATATGCTAGACTCTTTATAATTATATATATATGCTATAAATAATTATAATATTAATTAATACTTAGTAATACTATGATTAGTATGAATACTATGATAATTGATAGAATCATAGACGTGATAGTCATATGATATTGATAGATCTAGATTAAGACAATTAAGTTCATTAACTAGATAGATTTATGATTTAGCAGACTAGACAGTGTGTAGATAAATCTGATAATTATTTGTAGACATAGTAGATCTAGAAAATCTAGACTAGATTGTCTAGATTTAGAATAATCTAGATCTATATTCTATATAGATCTAGACAATATTATATACCCGAGACTCAGTCTCTAAAGTCTAGCTAGATCTAATCTCTCGAATCTCGATGTTCATGATTGCGTTTCATGTTTTTGTCCTGTATGTTATTTTTTTTTTAATCACG